CCATCTGGCATCACCAAAGGAGGAAGAAGAGTGATGCATTTGCATTGAGAGGAAGAAGGTGATTTGTGGAGGAGGAAAAAGGAGGTCATAGAGAAAGAAGGTGCAAGCTAAACAAAGGGAAGGAGGTCATAGGCATTGACAAAATATATAACTGACATAGAGAAAAAACATGGTGAAGTAGGATGATTTTTCCTCTTGGCAACATTAACAGAATATCTAAAACCCTCGCTTGAACTCTTCCTTGAGTAATAGAGTGTGATCAGACTTCCTCACCCTCAATCTATAGGTTTAGTATGGCTTTGTGTAGAAGTTGCAGTTCTGGACTTGCTCACCTTGCATTTGTGATTTTTAATCTTGAATATATAGCAATAAGTCTACCTTGCCTCATGTTCATGTGTATTAGTAGATGAATATGTAGAGCTTTGGTTTTCCTCGCCTCACTTTCATGTGGTCTTCTTTTTTGAATCTCTAAGTTAGTTTATCTATTGGCATGAGCTGTTTTGGTTGCTTTTGTCACTTTCTTAACCGTTTGACTAAGAGTGCAGTGTCTTCTTCATGTTTTTGTGTGGGTGAAAGCAAGTGAAAGTGAAATCTGGTATCTAAATCTCCAGGTCTCCGGTTTGAAAAAGGGAATTAGGGTATTGTAGTGTTTAAGGATGATTTTGTCTTTTGCATCAAAGGAAAATTAGGAAATAGCCATTATCTTAATTTAGAAAAGGGTGGGTTATTAGTTTTATTTAACTATATAATGTTGGCTAAATTCTCTAAAGCCCTTAATTATTAATCACATCATCAACATAGATTGAAAGTGATAGTTAATTATCTCCGTTCACTCATAATGTCTGACACTTTTACCATGTACATATATCATTCATATTAAAGAAATTAATTTTAAGACTACAAAATATCATAAATGTTGCATCAACACTAATTAAAAATGTCCTATACGGTGAATCAAATATAGCACAAGTAAAGAAATAGAGGGGGATCTATATCCCTTCTAATGCCTCTTTCTCCTTTTATAAAATAATTACAAGAAATGGATGATTTATATTCACTTGTTTTATAAAATAATTATTATAATACCATAAAATAAATAAATAAGTTTAAATGGTTAAAGTTTGACCTGCATGGTTTATAACTACCTACAATGAAATAAATAAAAAATAATTTATAAATTTTTTAATAACAATATGCAACTATAATTCATGCAGATCAAATTTTAACATTTTGAATTTTATTTATTTATTATGTGTGATATTATGATACTCCTCTAGTCCTATTTATAAGAAAAAAATATAATATTTATTTTGATCCTATTTATAGGGTATTTCATTATTTTTCATGTTCATCTTTATCTTTTTACTCTTATTGAATGCTAGAAAAAAGTATAAAAAAATCTTTTTATTCTTATTGGTAGATAGAGGTAGAAACTTATTAAATTTTCTAACAAAATTAATGAGATTTAAAGGTTTTTTAATTCTAGTGAAACATATTAGAAGCGACTTATAAATAGAATCAAAGAAAATAATTATTTTATAAAATACTTAAATTTGAACTATTCATTTTAGTTTCTTATAAGATAAACCATTCATTCTACTATGAAGAAGAAAAGGATAAAAAGAAATTAGAAGAGGATCTGAATTCAGGGGGTGAGAGATAGAAATTGATGCCAAGTAGGGAGATGACCAATGATCAATAATTAACGCTCACTTCGTAATGACATGAAGCATGACCAGGTTTGTAAGAGAGATAAAAATTAGTATAGGATCTGAATTTTGGGGGGGGGGGGGGGTTGAGGGGGGGAGGTGAGAGATAGAAATTGATGCCAAGTAGGAAGATGACCAATGATCAACAACGCTCACTTTGCAAGAACTTGTCCTTTTGGATGCAACTCTCTTGATTCATCCATCCACACATCTTCGTGATTGTATGAAGACTAGGGAAGTATGGCTAGAAGTTATTAATCATTCTAATCTTCATACTTTCTTCTCTCTTGCTTTATAGGACTGAATTTTTTGGAATACAAACACTATAAAAAAATATGATATTAGAGACGACAATTGGAGATGGATTTAAATTCCTCTCTACTTGCGACAGCTTTTGAGAGGGAAATAAATATAGAGACAGATTTAATACAAAAAAATAATTAAAACCATTGCAAGGGATTTAGAGATGGATAATACGTGTCTCAAAACAAGTTGTCTCAAAAGGTCGTCTCTAATGTTGTTTCTACAAATTAAAAATTTAAATTGAAAAACATAAAAATGTTAGAGACGCATTTAGATGTAATAATTTAACCGTCTCTAAAGCCATCGCCAACTCTAATTTAAAAAAAAAAAAGTTTAGAGACAACATTTGAAACAGCCATTTTTTATTATTAGAGACAAATGTAGGGTTATCTTTAATTCACTCTCTACAATTATAAATATTTTTTACATTTTATTTTTATTTTTATAGTGATGGATCTAGAGCCGGATAAATTTAATTGATAAAGATGAAATATAATCATCACTAACCCCATCTTTAGTTTTTTTTAATATTTTTGTATTTTATTATTTTACTATTAGAGATGAAATTAGAGATGGGTAAAGTAAATATATTATAGACCAACAAATTGTCCTCGCTAAATGGGTCTCTAATTTTAATTAGAGACATAATTAGAGATGAATTGTATTTTTTATTTTTAAATTTGAGTCCATCAATTTTTTTTTATACATAAAAAGTGCAAAACTTTTGATCATTATTCAATGAGCTTCATACTCAAGAAGAACAAAGAAATCCTGTATTTTTGAATAGTTATGTTAGTGTGACCCATGGATTGTTGTCATGTCTTACGGATGATCTTATCCTTGCCCCCAAAATTAGGTTCCTTGTATTTCTGTCAATATATCCCAAGTTATGTTATTTAATGCTATTACTAATATTAGATGTAGGTTCTTGGAGTTTTTCACTTAAAAATCAATTTATAAAATTGCAGTCAACTATGTTCAAAATCCTAACAATATTGCCAAACATTTAGTTGTCACATTAGTGATACATTATTACCACATTATTTTACACCTCTCTGCTAGGGGCCTTTAATAAATTTGACCATAATTTATTTTTATAAGATGATCATAATTATTCTGACGACCTTGGATTTGCAAAACATAAGAGAAGTAGTAACTAGTCAACTTTTTAAAATATTTTTTATTTATTTTGAACCAATTTTAATTTTATTATATTTTAAAAATTATATTATTTTAATTATAATCAAGTTGACCTCAATTCAGTCATGGTTAGACCATTAACTTAAAATTATTATCCTAATTAGTTCAAAGTTTTCAATAAATTTTGGGTAAACTATACTTTTTATTTTTATGAATATGAGAAAAATAATCATTATTATATTATATAAAAAATTATTTAATTATGAGTAAAATCCTGTTTTTTCTAGAATTATTTTTTTCTTTAACCTTTTATATTATTTAACCTCTACATATAAGGGGTATTTACTTTTGTTTATTCTTAATTTTTAATTAAGTCTGGCATGAATTATAACTAATTGTTCTATTTATCATGTTTATCTAGTAGTAGAGCTGGTAATTCATATATGCCCAAATGTTATTTTTAAAATTATTTTTAATTTAATTTTTTGCTTTAAAATTAATTTTCTTATTTTATAAAAAAACATACAATATATTTTTTGGATACTCAAGTCTCAAATGATGTATAGGACTGAAAACTCTTTTAAAAAAATAAGTGAGTCTTAAAATATGAAAATGAATATTAAAATAGAGATAATTAATTAAATAATAATAAAACCCTAATTCCCCTGCCCAAAATTTCATTTTCCCTCTTTCTCTCTCCCAACTTTCCCAATTTCATTTTCGGTGTCTTCTCTACCTATTGGTTTCTTTTTCATTCTTCCCAAATCCCTTGAAGAAAAGGTACGTTCCTTGTTCTCTCTTGCTCGTTTTGTTCCCTTCTCTATTTCCATCTCAGGTTTTGCCATATGCTTGTACAGTTCACTTTTGGCTCATTTATTTCCCTTCTCCACGCTGCTTGTTCTTCAAATTTTTTTCACATGCGCTTCTTGTATTTTGTTGAAGCTGAAGTGGAGTTTCAACAAATAAGATACAGTAGCTAATAATACTCCTTTTGTCATGTAGTTAAATTTGCTATTGGGGGTGGCAGTAGATTTGTATAAAGGGGGGATTAGGATGGTGGGGATTGGGAAGTTGTGGGGCTTCTATATCTAACAAGTCACGTGGGTTAGGAATTTAGTGGTGCACTTGTTACCTTTTGAAAACCACACGTAATTTCTGTGTGTTTGATTTAACAAGTCTTTTTGTTAATCTCACCAAAAGGAAGCCTTGATGTAAAGTTGGATGCCTGTGTGTTTGCCCTTTTTTTAAACCATTGCCGACTAGAGCCAATAATGGAATCTTTTTGGACCAAAAATGGATGCACAAGAACTTCCCTGGTCTTTTTTATTAGCAGTAAGTAGAAACTAGTCAAACTTCATGTACTTGTAAGCACTGGGATATATTGATATTTTTTATGTACATAAAGCCTGTTTTTTATATGTCATTTGCTTCTGCGCTCTGTACATTTTAAAAGTAGTAAGAAGAGTTCTTCTTTGATGTCCAATATAAATAAATGCTTCTCTCTTTTTGTCTCTCATTTGAAATTTAATTTTCTGTTGTTAACATTTAGAACCATCTTTCCAATATTATTCATAAATGCTTCCCTCTAATATATGTTTTATTTCATTTTCTTGTTAAATTAAATGAATTTCCAAAACATTATCTTGTTTTTCTATATAGTGGTTTAGTATTATCTTGTTGATTTAATAGATTCTCTTTTTTCGAAAGATTGGACTTACATCTAGCTTGCTCTTTTTTAGTCCAATAAAGAGTCATCCTATATTTTATATAGACACTACAGGATTGGGAGAGTGGGTATATAACAAGCCCTTCCTAGCTAGTTAAGGGACTCAAGATAGCAATTAACAGTCACAATTCAGAGTATAGCATTATTATTCACCATCAGATAAAAACTATGGCCCTAGCGAGTACGTTAATCTTGCTCGATTCCTGCTTCCTCTCACCAGGTTTTAGGAAACACAACAACCAACAAGGAGAGCCTCTTTCCTTTCAAAGGCTTCAATGTGTGGCCAGCCAACAAACCCTTTCCCTCCCTCCCTTGTCTCTAAGGAACTCTGCCAATTACCAGCCTACCCTCTGGACTCATGACTTCATCCAGTCCCTCAACAATGGTTTTATGGTAATATATTTCAATATTCACTTTCTCCCTCCATTACTCCACTCCCCCCTTGCTTCAGGAATTCACAACTGAGAACCTTCTTCATGATCTTCGATTATATATATTACCACAAAGAATTTACAGTACTTGTTGTTATAGGACGAAAAGTACCGCCACAGAGAAAGGAAGCTGCTCGACGATGTGAGGGGGATGATCGTGGATGAAAATGCTCAGCGATTGGCCAAACTTGAGCTCATTGACGACATCCAACGCTTAGGCCTTGGTCATCACTTTGACAACGAGATAAAAGCCGCTCTTGATCGTCTCATCTCTTCGGAAAAACAAAGTCAAACAAAACAGTGCAGAAGCCTGCACGAAGCTGCGTTGACCTTCAGACTCCTCAGAGATCATGGCTATCAGGTCTCCCCAGGTACCTGTCCATCTATTGTTGACGTTACTGTATATCTATATATGGCTCTCCTCGTGAGATTTTTACAATTACATCTCGCATAAATGAAATAACGCAGATATATTTGAGAGTTTCAAGGACCAAAACGGTAATTTTAAGGCATGCCTCGGCAAAGATGGGGGAGGGATGTTGAGTCTGTACGAGGCAACGTTTCTGGGATACGAAGGAGAAGACATTCTGGAGGAGGCCAGGGCCTTTACTGTCATTCATCTCAGAGACATGAAGGAACATCTAAGCAATGATCATCTGTTGGGACAGGCGATCGGCCACGCGCTGGACCTTCCAGTGCATCGCAGAACACGAAGGTTAGAAGCCAGATGGTACATAGAAGCGTATGGAAAAAGAAAAGACGCCAATAAGATACTTCTCGAAGCTGCCAGACTGGATTTTAACATAGTGCAGTCATCGTTTCAAAGGGATCTCCAAGAAATGTCAAGGCTAGTCAATTCATTATATTCATATATGATCGATTCATTTCCCTATATATATTTTATTAGTGCTAATCAAATTGTAGAAGGCTCAAAAGAGAAAATTGACTTCTTGCATGTGTTTATTATTATAGGTGGTGGAAGGCGATAGGAGTGGCATCAAAGTTGAGCTTCAGCAGGGACAGGCTGATGGAGTGCTTCTTTTGGACCGTCGGGATGGCATCCGAACCTCAATATAGTGAGCTTCGCAAAGCTTTGACCAAAGTCACTTGTTTCATTACCACAATCGATGACGTCTATGATGTTTATGGCACTTTGGATGAACTTGATCTTTTTACCGCCGTTGTTGAAAGGTTTGTTTTCTCCTATATGTTTAACTTTATTTTACATATATTCCCATTGGTTGGAAGAAATGTATTTTTATATATGTGGAAACAACATATGTTAGGATAATAGGATCCTAACAACATTATATGATGAATTCTTCTTTTGGTGTTTCAGGTGGGATATCGATGCAATACATGTTCTGCCATGGTACATGAAGGTGTGTTTCCTAGCCCTGTTCAACACTGTCAATGAAATGACGTATGAGGCACTAAAAGAGCATGGACAAACCATCCTACCCTACCTCGCCAAAGCAGTGAGTACCCAACGAAAACAACTTCATGACAGACATATATCACATGTTAAACACTATTTCACAGTGAAACTAAATGGTCTTTTCTTAATATTAAAGTGGTCGGACATGTTGAAAGCATTCTTACAAGAAGCCAGGTGGTCTCATGACAAACATATACCCTCCTTCAATGACTACTTCAGAAACGCATGGATGTCAGTCTCAGGAGTATTAATTCTCACCCATGCCTATTTCTTTCTCCATCACAATTTCTCAAAGGAGTCACTTCAATCCTTGGACCCCCATCATGACCTCTTACGCTGCCCTTCCATTATCTTTCGGCTGTGCAACGATCTGGGCACATCAAAGGTGACATATCCCCTGTCAATCTGAATATTTCTTATGCCGTCATACATTAATTTCATTTGGGTGCAGGTGATGAGGTCATTATATTGTTTTAGTTACGGTCTTTAATAGTGTTTTGAGTGCAGGCGGGGTTAGAGAGAGGTGAGGCAGCAAGTTCGATAGTATGTTACATGCGTCAAAGTGGGGCCACTGAAGAGCATGGATACAAATACGTGTGCAGTTTGGTGGACGAGACGTGGAAAAAGATGAACAAACAAAAAGGAATGGGGTCTGAATTTTCCAAAGCTTTTGTAGAAACAGCAATGAATCTCGCGAGAGTTTCCCATTTCCCAAGAACCGGATTCGATCATTAGTTGTCGAACCCATTAAGCTTCCTAAGAATTAATAGACCTACAATTACTTGATTCTCTATAGGTTTGGGGAATTACATTGGCTGTGTTTTGTATATGCGAAATAAACTTAAAGATTGAAAAAAAAAATGTTATTGTATAATAAATACTGGTAGCTAGATAACAAAGTGGCTTTCTTTAAAAAGAGCGTTCCTTGTTTCTTGATAATGCTATAAATAGGAAGACAAAACTGAGAAATGATGCTTCCTCTAATCAATTTGGAATTATCATTTGAGAACGTTTGAAAATATTAAACTAAAATTACTATAAAGAGAAACTATATATATCACTAATTATTACTTCCTCCGTTCAAAAATATAAGATATTTTTAATTGAATCTCACACTTTAATAAAATAGTTACCTACTTTTAAACTAATAATATCTTTTCATATTTACCTCTATTAAGTACCTTATAATAAATATAAAGTCACTATCAATATGGGCACTTAAAAAAAAAAGTAATGATTGCACCTCAAAAAATTAAAAATGCCTTATATTTTTTAATATTTAACTCCTTAAAAAATGCCTTACAGTTTTGAATGGAGGGAGTAGTTGCCAGATCATTTATTATTTAATTTCATTAACCTATCATGGCTTGAGTAAATAAATGAATCTTATTTGTAAATTAATTATTAGAACAAAAAATTACGAAAAGAAATTTATTGAGATTTGAGGATGGAAAAAGAGAGGCACTTAATTAAAAATATATTCGTACTACTCACTCAACTCACAATGTACACAATATACACAAACACTCGACTCACAATACTCACAAACACTCAACCCTTACTAATAATTTTCCCCTCGCCCCAACTCACGTCACTTCACCTTTTCTCTCTTATCACACACTCTTTTTCCTCGCTGCACGCCACAACATATAAAGCTACCTATCCATACGCCATTCGTTCTTCATGCTTCCCAATCCTTCTTCTTACACCGCCAAAAGTATCTAGAAATTTCTTGGTTTATTTTATTTATTCACAGTCTCTATTTGTTTCTCCAAACTCTTTAGATTTTTCCTAAATTAGTCAATGCATTTTCTAACAGGATCGGCCATATAAGCGGATGAAAAATTAAAGGAATCTTCCGTCAGGGAAGTGTGATGATTGGCATATCGTGGCTCTGATGGCCGAAAATGCCATCCACATTCGCTGTTGCCTGTTGCCCCGCTCTTCGTCCCAATTATTGTTCATCTCAATTCTCGAGATCAAGAGAGATGAGACCTTTTCGCAGCGCAAAAAAAAAAAATCAGAATGTTAAAATAAATCAAAGTGAAAAAATTTAGGCTTGTTTTATTTTGTTCCCTTTTTTATTTTTAAAAACTATTTTATAAACCATATTTTAAAAATCATTTTTCAAGGTACAAAAAAAATCTGTTTGATTAAATTAATTTGAAAATATTTTTGATTTAGAATTTAAAAATATCTTATGAAGCTCTGAAAGAGCATGGACAAAATATCCAACCCTACCCCACCAAAGCAGGGAGTACTCTGTGACAATGGATACGACAGTTCATTGATATAAACATATCACGTGTTGAGTGCTTTTTCAGATTGGTACTAAACATTTGTTTTCTTAATTATTAAAGTGGGCAGACATGTTGAAAGCATTCCGGATAGAAGCCAGATCGTCCCATGACAAACACCGACGCTCATTCGATGACGACTTTATAAACGAGCGTGGCTGTCAGTTCAGAGTATTAATCCTCACACATGCCCATGTGTCTGTTTGAATTTTAATGGAATATAATAAATTATAAAATAATTAATTAAATAATAAATTTTAATTATAATTAATTTATTATAACACATGTTTGGATACTATTTTTTTAAAATTAATTTTAAAAAAATTAAAAATATTTGGATAATTTAATTAAAATAATTTTTAACTATATAAATTACTATATAATTTAATTTTTAAATACTAACTATTAATTTTTTGAAGATACAAAGTTTAAATTTTATTAAAAAAAAAGAAGAGAGTTTAATTTTATTTTTATTAAATTATGTGTTTTTTTTGTGATTTTTTTTGGGCTTGTCTTTATAATTTTTTTTAATATTTTTGATAAATTTTTGGCAAAAAACAGATGGAAAGAGCTTATAGAAAAACACACGTTTTGCCTCTTTAATTAATTTTTGTGTTTTTATGCTGTTTGAGTAATTTTGTTTAAAAAATTGACCGTGGGCTGAATTTTTTTTTTTTTTTTCTATCCAAACACACGCTGTTTCTTTCTCAATCACAAGTTCTCAAAGGAGTCACTTCAATCCTTGGACGCCTGCCATGACCTCTTGTGTTGCCCTTCCATTATCTTTCGACTGTGCAACGACTTGGGCACATCAAATCAAAGGTGACCTATCCTCTGTCAATCTGAATATTCCTATGCAGTCAGACATTAATGTCATTCGAGCGCAGAGTTCATTATATTTTCTTTAATTAGGGTCTTAATAAATGACGTTTTTGCAGGCGGAGTTAGAGAGAGGTGAGGCGGCAAGTTCGATAATATGTCTTTTTTGTTTTCGTAATCATCTTTTCTTATGTTTGGTAGATTAATTGCGATATAAATTCCTTGAATGGTGACTTATATATATATGTTCGTTGGAGATAACTCTTCTATTGTGAATTGAATCCCTCCCTGTCAAAGGTTAAGTTGTTGATCCTGAATTCACTCTCCAGCAATATCTTCGTCATACAAACTACTCTTAATTATATGAGGGGACAACGATTGATTAACAGCAAAACCAGAAAATTTAATTTGTGTTGGCACAATATACTGAGCAATAAATGTGACTAAAATAAAATTAAAACTTAGACCATCATCCACCACATGAACAATCGAGATTTCACGCGCGGGTTGTCATTTCTAACCTTCGCTGTGTTCATATATATATATATCGTTCGTTTGTTCACTTCTTTTTCTGGTTTCTTCAAAATTAGTTTCATTGCTCATTACCATTGAACACCATTCTTGTATGTCCATATCAAAACTGAACAATTTAGATTTAATATAATTTTATTTTTATATTTTTAATAAATTATTGTTTTAATAGATATAGAATTTAAAATAAATATAATCTTATAAATGGTCACTTTGTCATAGAAATAATTTTATTAGTAAAATTTTTTAAATCCCAGCCCTAAAAAAACAGTTTTTTTTTGGTAAAAGGATCAACTTATATTAACATAAAAAAGAAATAACAAAGTCAAAAGGACAAAGTAGTAACAGGAAAAATAAGGAAGGAGAATAGAGGAGTATTGTGACGTGTGTGATTATGATTGGTTTTCTGAAAAATACAGCAGTTTATCAAACCATAGTTATGAGTGGATTGATAAAGGCCCAAACCAAACAGTTCTAGAAAAAGGACACTCACAGAAAATGTGATTTAAAGTTTCAAGACAATCACATTCAAAGGTATAAAGAATAGTTGTTTATAAATGACAATTATGAAGAATGTCACCAATAGGAATTGCAAAGAAAATTTCAATGATCTTCATTAGCATGAGGACTGATCTTGATATCTTGAGTTAGCCAAGAGTAGTCCAAATAAATAGAATAAGGACGTTTACCCCATATTATCTTATCTGAGTTTTTAGAGAAAGAAATTGGACTCTCCAAAATTGTTTTGGCAAAGTTAACATCATATAAAGACTTAATTAAGGACATGTTCCATTTAGCTGGTGTCTAAGGGTTTGGACTTGGGATGATTAAATTAGAAACTTTGGATGTTGTCTGATACTGTTGGGCAATTGAGGTAGACATTTTTCATCACAAATCATGTGAGACAGAGATGTATTCTCAAGTAGCAACCTGCCAATGAAGGTTTTTCTTGATTATTAAAAAAAGAATAGTTTTTAATTGTTCAAGTTTCACCAGCATGATGAGCGGCGCTATTTATTTAGTTTTTTGTACGGAACGGTGGTCATGTTTTGAAGAAGGAACATTCATAAAGCCAAATTTCTAACCCAGCGATACACCAATAATGGCCAACAATAATGTTTTACATTGATAAAATCTTGCAGGATCCAATTCATCTTGCTTCACATCACCTTTTCTCTTTGTAGGTCCGGTTTTGGTGCTAATCATGTGATGAACACCATGATACTGATCATGTAATAGGCAATCTGAACCATCTAGATTTTAAAATTTTATTTTTAGTTTACATTTATCATAAAAATATTATAAAATTTTAATAAAACTATCTAATCATCAATTTAAACTATACAGATTTAATCTAGGTGGTTTAATTTAATATTAAGTTTTTATAATTTTTATAAATTGTTCAGTTTAACATTAATTTTTTTTTAAATTTTTATAAATTGACCATCCAAATGTATTCTGAATTGCCTAAATTTAAAATTTTGAAGTTATAACTTTTTCTTTATTTTTTTAAAGTGCCAATTTTAAGATTATCTTTATTTTTATTTTTTAATATTATATTTAGTAAAATAAAAATTTATTATTAAATTCAAACGGTCCATAATACATTTGGATATTCAATTTATAAAAATTATAAAAAATTAATACTAAATTAAACTATTTGCATTAAATTTGTATTATTTAGATAGCTAATAAAATATATTTATTAAAATTTTATAATTGTTTACAATAAATATAAAATAAAAATATAAAAATAAAATTTTAAAATCTAAACTATCCAAATTCTTTAAAAATCTAAGTGATTCAGGTGCTCATTAAGTGATAAGCATCCAAACCAAATGCTCTCTTTGTAATATCATCATTTGACAAGCGACACAAATCATCATGCATCGATCATGCTTTATACATATACCTATTTCCTATAGGGGAATAACAAATAGGTCCCAAGACATGCATTTAATGCCAATAAAGTCCCAAGAAATTCCAAAGCACTAGTAAAGTCTCCAGGTTCTTAAGGAAGATTATATGAACAAAATCAATTTACATAAATATCCTTGTTCAATTTTCCAAAATATCATTCTTCTTCCTCCCGCTCATTCACATCTCAAAGTTTGAGATCAAAATTGGGAACCCATAGAAGGCACAGGTCTCACTTGCAACACCCACTCTCAAGGCTGCTTTACTGACGACACAATCCTTTGGCCAAGAACTTTGCTAAAATTCACAAAGAGGCTCGCATCCTCATAG